AGTACAAAAAGATAAAAAGTATATAGTTCTACTTCTACTAAGTTAAAAAATACACAAACCTAATTTATAACATTGAGTCCAGAGAGTGGCTATGAGTCGGGTGAAGGTGGGGATGAGACGGCCAGGAAGGGTGTGGGGACTGGCAATGGCTTCTGCAAAAGCCTAGAGTGTAATTGTGATTATTTATCAAACTGTGGATTTATAATTTATGTAATTTTCGGGATGTATGCTAACTTCAGTTAAAAACCCTATTTAGAACATTTAGAAGGAGGGAGGAGGAGGAAGACTTAAAAGCCTAACCAACCAAACTTAGCGCTCAGAAGTGTAAGGCTCCTGAGACGAGCAAACTGACACTATAGGAAACTGGTTATTTTTGGACTGGGATGTATGCATAGTTGGGTAGCTCTTTTATTTATGGAAGACAAGGCATAGTAATACCACCACACATTTATTTTCAATAACAATGACAGTAAGCCAGCCATTTTAGAGATGGGGAACCATACCAGCAACTATCAGTCAAGTCTTTACCAGGTATCTACTACATGTTAGGCAGTGGACTCAGGACCAAGTCCAAATCCTGTATGTGAGAGGGCTCAGACTGAAGGCCAGGGCTATCTGTTGGCACAGGCAGGGCTCGTACACATGATGGTGTAACGCTCAATCACATGGACAGGTTGTGCAGAACTGGAATGACAACACAGAAACCCAGCAACAGCAAAAATCAACTGCAGAAAACCTTCTAGCGGGTTAGAGAGAGCATGGGCTGCTCTTGCAGAGGACCTAGGTTTGGTTCCCAGCACTCACATGGTGGCTAACTACTGTCCATAACCCCAGTTCCAGGGGATCTGACTACTTCTTCTGGCCTCCACAGGCACTATATGCATGTGTGCTCCTACATACATGCAGGCAAAACACTCATACACGTAACATAAAAATAAATAAAAAAGGACGGGCATGGTGGCGCACACCTTTAATCCCAGCACTTGGGAGGCAGAGGCAGGTGGATCTCTGTGAGTTCAAGGCCAGCTTGGTCTACATATTGAGTTCTAGGACAGCTGGGGCTACAGGGAGACCCTGTCTCAAAAAGACCAAAAAAAATTAAAAAAAATAAAATAAAAAAATAAATAAATAAAAAAGAAAACCTCTTCTACAAGAGGCTGTTCAAACACACGACATGTCTCCTTCCGTGCACTTGTAGGAAGACCAGCTGAGTAGCAAGGCATTCTTGCTACATGACAAATTTGCCAAGTTTTTCTAAAAAGTACAAAAAAAAAAAAAGAGTAACTATCAGAAATGTACACAGGGTAGATGTTGTTAATAAGTCCAAACACTGACTATATATTTACCAGGTAATAAAATGGAATGAAGTGGATTATAAAACCAGTCAGAAAAAACCCACTGAAACCCTCAGATAAAACGAGAAGACACCAATAAGGCTATGCTTAGCCAGGCATGGTGTGAGTGCCTTTAACTCCAGTATCTGTGAGGCAGAGGCAGAGGCAGAGGCAGGGGCAGTCAGATCTTTGTGAGTTCCAGGCCAGTCATGGTGAGGCCGTCTCAAACAAACAAACAAACAACCCACACAAAAATATAACAAAGCAACAAAGAAGGCTAGGTATACCAGCTTAGCTAACAGCAAAGCTATGATAATGAAGACAAAGGCCTGGCGATGTGCTAGAACACATTCAACCACATACACAAGTTTTGAACCTCAAGTATTATAGTTAAAAAAGTCACTGGGCTGTTGTGTGAAGAGGCAAGAAGACCCTAGGACAATGCAGCCACTCCTTTAAGTCTGTGGCTATTTTAAGAACATAAAGCAACCCCAGGACACCAACAGCATCAACGTAAGTCTTTAAGCTGTCAGTCTAATCTACTTAGGTAGACATGAAACCCTTCTCCAGTCAGAAATCAGTCACAAATTTATCGTAACTATGGACAAGGACATAATTATGGATCTGTTATCCAAAATACTCAGAACTATTAGATTCTGGAATTTTTTGGATTTTGGAATATTTGCATATGTACAATGAGGTATCTTGGAGATGAGGCCCAAGACTAGACACAAAATTCATCTGTGTTTCATGTGTTCCTTATGCATGTAGCCTGAAGATATTTTATTCAGTACTTTTGAACATTCCTGTGTTCTGGCTGAGACTCATGTGGTTAGCTGTGGGATATTCTACCTGTAGCATTGTGTTATTTTGCAGCATTTTTTATTTTGTTCTGCTGGCATCACAACTCAGCCTTCGACATTCCAGATCAGTGCTCCAGTGAGCTACATTCCCAGCCTTGGATGCTTGGATGAGGGATACTGGACCTGTCTCTGAGACTGTATTTGTTCAGTTTATCCATAAGTCCTGGGATGGTCGAGAACATAGGCTGGGATCCTAGTAAAGCACTTGGAACCAAACATTTCGTCAATGTTTCTCTAGACCTGGAGGCTAGACTTGCCCCTATCATGAAGATTTTGGTATGGTGCACTGGGAAACTCAAGAATAATAAAGGCACTACAACTTAAAGGCAAAGCTTTCTCTCCCGTCAGGAAAACCTGTCTCTACCAGTTCCCCCAGGCAGTCCTCAGTGCAGATCACAAGTGACAGGTTCATCCCATCTACTACGCCTCATCTAGAGTGTACGGTGTTAAGTTACTAGCAATAATGAATGGCCCTCATTGTTTAGGAAATAAATCCTTCTTAGGGCTCTCAGTCTTGAAATGAAAACAGAGGTCTTAAAGCAAGATCAAAGCCTTCCAGAGTGGGAAGACTGACAACAGATGCCCTTAGATCTGCAGCAAAGCCCACTGGCCAGAAAATTAAGCACATATTCAATGAGAGAGAGAGAGAGAGAGAGAGAGAGAGAGAGAGAGAGAGAGAAGGAGAACAGGGAGAATGAATGATTTGAGCTAAAGTACTTTTTGTGGTGCAGTTGGTCAGGTTTTCATCTGTATCTCAGCTTCCTAACCTGGGTCATGACTCCAAACCTGGCTGTGGAGGCTGTGAAAACTTCAAAGAGTAAAGGGTTTCTGAACATGCAACAAACAAAAATTACTTCAGATGTGTAATGAGCCTGAGATGTTCTACAGCATTCGCCTGGCAGCCCGAGCCCTCCCTGCAGTCTTGGTTCTGACTCTGCGCTGAGTAGGCTGCTGCATCTGGCTGCAACTGAATGAAGAGCATTTTCCGCTCTTACAGAAACACAACTTTAATTACAGACAGACTTCGGCTGCACAGAATGGCACATACCTTCAGTACCAGCAGCAAAGATGCTGAGGCAGGTGGATCACTGACAATGAGGACATCCAAAGCTACACGGTGAGATACTGTCTCAAAAAACCACCCAATCACCCACAAGGACTCAGTATCTTTTTGGAGACAATGTCTCATGCAGCCCATGTTATCCTCAAAACTGACATGCAGCTGCAGGTGGCCCTTTAACTCCTGATCCACCTGCCTCTACTTTCCAGTGCTTGGGGCTACAGGCATGTGCTACCATACCTAGCTTATGTAGTGCTAAGGACTGACCACAGGACTTCATGTGTAGAGGCAAGCACTTGACCAACTGAGCTATATTTTGAGCCCCAAATTGTAATTTTTTTTTTTTACCACCAGTCCTTAGCATACAATTATCAAATTTGTGTATTTTTAGATTGCACTGTATAAGAATGTTCAATTTTAAAAACTGCTATTTGAAATGCTGACTAGAGTTTTGTTAAAAAAAAAAAAAATCATTCAATGTAGGACAGAATTTCTAATGGTTCCTGAAACACCTCTAAACATAATTCTGCCGTTTTGAAGTGAAATAGTACTCTCAGCTTTGACAATTACAAAATCAAAATACTGATAAATTCTGAAAAATGTTGAAAACACTCTAAGTCCTTCAGTATGAAATATTCAACCACGGTTTAATTCTTTATGTAAAAATAACTAGGTACATATATTTTACTGCATACAAATTTACTTTTGTTTTTTTGAGATAGGGTCTCCCTGTAGCCTGTAGCCAAGTTGACTTGGAACTCACTATGTAGACCAAGCTGGCCTCAATCTCAGAGATCTCTCATCACTACTCTGGGCTTCTTTTGCCTTTAATAAATGGTAAAATACACAAATACTAAATAATCAAAGTAAGATTACCAGTAAATGTTTCATTTGTAAACCTACTTCATACACCTATAAACCTGGAGTTGTGTAAAAAAATTTCAGATGAAAAGGGATCCTGAGCAGAAAAAGTTTAAGAATTCTTGATTTAGATTAACAGAGCAACTCTCTCACATTCATTTGTATAAAAGCCATAAAAGCTGGAAAAACGTAAAATAGAAAAAAAGCAAAAAACCAGCTTTGGAGAAAGGGTCAAAAGAACTCAGGCTATCGTACTGCAGACAGTCATTGACGAGCTTGGTCCTAGGATGGGTGGACGAGCTCCTTGAAAATGCCTGCCCCTCTATTACACGTAAGTTCATCCTCAGTAGGCAAAGTTCATCTAGTAATGATCATCGTTTATCAGTTGGTCCTGGCTGCGAACACCTAGGTTTTCTCCATGTACTAGAACTAGCTTTTGTGAAAACGCAAGTGGCAAAACTGTACCAAGTGACACAGTTCCAAACACAGCAGCTCAATTTTCAAAACAAATTCTTCCACAGGGAATCTTATTGCCTTTACATTTTAAGGATCTTTTGCTGGGACGTGAAAGTACCTAAGCACCTAACCATTACGTTACTGTAATATACTCCAAAGCACTAAAATTTGCTTTACTTTACACTCAAATGAAATGAAAATATAAAACTGACATATACTGATATCCCGATACTTCAACTACCCCCAACACTGATGATCCCAAAAGACTCGTGCTTAAAGTTCCTTGGCAAACTAAACAAACGAGTACAGGAAAGCATCCTAGCCTTTGGCCTGTGTTTCAACAACTGCTGTGCATTTTAAATCATGTCTAACATACTTCTTTATCATGAAATGTTTGAGTGCCCTGAATTCTCCAATCGTACTTACCTATACGGCTTATCTGAGCTATGGACTCGCCTGTGGTTTCTGACGCCAACATATGTGGTGCTTGTATACTCGCATACGTCACATCTGTACTGTTTCTGGGCTGAAGACTTGTTTCCTAGGGGTTTAGAGGAAGATTCGCTAAGATTCACATGGCAGCATTTCCATTCCATCATCAACGAATACTTACACTACACAGTATTATTTCTTCTTTTTTTGGTCTTTTTGAGACAGGGTCTCCCTATAGCCTCAGCTGGCCTGGAACTCACTCTGTAGACCAGGCTGGCCTTAAACTCACACTGCCTCCCAAGAGGCTGGGATAAAAGCCTTGTGCCACCATGCTCCATTTAAAAAAAAAATTTCTTTAAAATATTTTATTTTTATTATGTGTTATGAGTGTACTGCCTACTTGTGTGTTAAGTGCACTGATGTGCAGTGCCTGTGGAGATCAGAAGAGGGCATCAAATACCCTGGAGCTGCAGTTAAGAGATGGTTGTTAGCTGCCATGTGGGTGCTGGGAACTGAACCTGGGTACTCTGCAAGAGCAGCTAGTGCTCTTAACAGCAGAGTCACTTTTCCGGCCCTGTATTATTTCTTTTTAAAATGATTTATTTTATATGTGTGCTTGCCTACATGTATGTCAAGGTACTGTTTATGTGCCTGTAGCCTGAGGAAGCTAGAAGAGGGTGTTGGAACCCAGGTCCTCTGTAAGAGCAGCCAGCATTCTTAAGCACTGAGCCATCTTTCCAGCTCTTATAGTATTATATTAATATTTTAATGAAAGGTTTCTCATGGTTTAAGTCTAACAAGTTTGAAGCAGCTTCCTAGATTCTCTGGCAACTTTAGCACTGGCAGGTTGGGCTGGTTTCTGTGTAACCTTGTTTGAAGCTCTATAGTATCATGAACTTGCTTCCACCTGCCATGAAGTGTAGCAGCTATATTAACCAGATACGTGCTGATTTGAAAGGTGTTAGTCTAATCAATAATGGTTATATTGTCTTAGAGAAACAACTTATTTGTTAACAAGCTGAAATTTAATACTATAATCAAGTATTTTACAGTGTGGCCATGAAGGATACCTAGCAAGCCAAATACAAAAAGTCCAATGTTTCCACCCTATGGGTAGATTGGTTCACAATTAAATGCAAGCTATCAGTTAAACACAGAAGGAAAAGTAACTGCAAATTATGTATGTTGTGTTCTCTATCTCAGTACAATCCTGTCTAGTAAGTTGACAGGTTTCAGGGACAAAGGCTGTGAATATGCAATTCCCTCAAATGCAGGAAACATGGAGCCGGTGGAAACAGGCCACACACTGCTAACTCAGTCTGTAAAACAGGTTGAGTAGTTCACCTACAATACAAACAGAAGGATGTGACCATAAGAAACGATCTCCTCGGGGCTGGAGAGATGGCTCAGCGGTTAAGAGCACTGACTGCCCCTGCAGAGGACCTGGGTTTGATTCCCAGCACCCACATGGTGGCTATGAACCATCCTTAACTCCAGTTCCAGGGGACCCGACGCCATCTTCTGACCTCCACAGCATTGCACGACATGGGTGCACTCACATACATGCAAGCAATACACTTGTACACATAAAATAAAAATAGTAAAGTATTAAAAAAAAACAAAAAAACGGTCTCCCGCTTTAAAAAAGACGCCCCATGCTTTAAGTACTCTTCTGTCAGCAGAAAGGCCACAGGGCAGCTCCAGCTTAACTGCTTCACAAAGCAGGTATGCATGGAAGCTCAGAACAGGCAGTACGGAAGAGAGCTGCGGCCCCAGCAGAAAGCAGAAAGCAAGCCGAGAAGAGGAGTGCAAAGCATGGCTAAAATACGCGCCACAGAAGAAAACCCACGCTGCGGCAACAAAGAAAATCCTTCAGTTAAATTTAAGCTTTCTAAAATTGAAATTTTCTTTGGCTAATAACTACTGCCAGGCAGAACAAAATGTCCTAATTTCCTGGTATAAATCTTTAACATTAATACACACACTAATCATAATTACAATCTAAGTATTGCTCTTAATTGGTAGGTTAAAAACTTGGACTTGATTATAAATGGCACTGTTCCAAATATAGTTTTAAAAAAACTTGAAAAAATGAAGTGTGAAATATTGGATAATGGTTTTGTGTGAGAAATATTACAGATCAATGACAACTAATAAAACTGACAGATGGAAAAGCCTAATATAGCACAGAATGAGAGCTTGTGCTACTTCAAGCAAATGTTTCCAACCGAAAGAAGGTTGGATTTAAAGTTCAGCAACTTGGGCCTAGTTTTTGCTCTGCTGCTTACTACTGGTATGAGCCCAGCAAGCCATTTTACCTCTTGAGGCCTCAGTGATCCGGTCCACACGATGGAAGTGAAGAGGTCCTCAAGGCGCAGTTTGGTGAGCCCTGTGCTTTTCCTTCCTGTCTGGGCACAATCTCTGCCTGTTACTGAACTGTGCATTCTCCGCCTGCTTTGTTTACACTGAATCCCCAGGGCAGGGCAGATTATAGGCTTCTAAGAAAGGACAATTTAATTAAACGTCACCAAGAAACACCATGAAGGGCACTGCCAGGGCTTCAGCTCCCTGGGGCTCCTCTTAGTAGTACCTGTGGCGTTTGCTGACATACCCATTAGTTCAGTTCTGACTCGTTCTCTGGGCTGGGGTCTCTAAGGGCGCTGATACCCTTCCATGTACTCTCACGCAAAGGGCCCAGCTCAGAACAGGCAGGCCATGCTTCTGGCTGAGGGAATGTGTGAAGGACAAGAACATCAGGCCTGTGTTGAAAGCATGCCTGAAGGTATCCGAGCTAAAACAGTGGGTACACACTGGGCATGGCACAGTTATACATCTCCCATCTTGTTTTAATAAGTTTACTAGGTAGTTAGGGAATTTTAACAAAGCATTAATTATTTTTACCTTCTTTGTGAGTTTAACATTTGTTCACTGGCCTGTCAACCATACTTCTAAATACTGAATCCTGAATTAGTAATGTACCTATGCAGGTCTAAGTATGCAGGAAGAGATCAACTATGTAACTGATACACCTCTATGACAAAACAGCAAATGCAGCCAAGTAGGGTAAAAACAGCAAGGGCTAGGGTGACGCTTATTTGAAGAGTGCTGGCTTAGCAAGCACGAAGCTCTGGATTCCTATCCCCAGCACTGCCACCCCCCAAAAAACAACAAAAAAGGACACCAAAGCAACCAAACAAAACCAAATCATGATACATAATTTTAAATTTACCCATTTTTAACCCTAAGAGCAAGGCAAGAGTAGAATTCACAAAGATGTGCAAAATAGAATGAAGGGCTAATATTATAGTGTTCGGAATGGTTAATTTGAGCTGACATTTTAACCTCTTTTTAAAAAAAAATTTTTATTATCTTTATTTTATGTGTATGAGTGTATTGCCTGCACGTATGTGAGTGCACCCATGTTGTGCAATGCCGCGGAGTCAGAAGACGGCATCAGATCCCCTGAAACTGGAGCTACAGATGATTGTTAACTACCATGGGGATGCTGGGCATCGAACCCAGGTCCTCTGTAAGCAGTCAGTGTGCTCTTAACCGCTGAGCCATCTCTCCAGCCCCCATTTTAACCTCTTAACTAAACTCAGTAACCAATGTGGGCAGCGAGTGTTAAAGCTTTTGCTTCTATAAGACAGTGCTGGAGAAGACCGAGTCTAGCGCTGGTGTTAACCGTAGGCGGTGTACCAGCAGCATGCGCTTTATTCCTTCATTACGATTTATGGTCCAATCATTTCTAATGTTTAATGTTTCCTTTAAAAGGGGTATGGAGACATAATGAATTAAAATAAAAAGAGGCATTTAGGGCTATTTTGCAGAAAGGAAACAAAACTGCTGTAGCTCAGCCATCTATCGCAGAAGCAGATGCCATGTCATAAACTCTTTGCTTTGGATAGTTTTATGGGGATGACATCTGTTTGACAAGGAATCTTGGTGCTACAGTGGTGTCAAAATCAGTTCTTTCAGAATCATTCTAGAATCAGTTATGCTTTCTGGGGTATAATTTAATGAAACATTATGGTAAAACATTTCACTCTGCAGTTGTTCCTAACTTTAATTCTTAGGAAATCTTAAAAGGAAAGTCACCCCAGTATGTTTTATTTCCCATAAAAACTATGTACCACACTGAAGACATTTAAAAGTATATCAATTTAAGTGAACTGATGCAAGGAAACACAGCTTATTACACTTTATTCTCAATTCTCTGGATGTGGCATCCGCCTTTTCATGGAACTCTAATTAAATCTTTTGATTCTAATATTCTTATTACCAGCCACTCGGCTGACTAGTACCTAACTAGTACATAAAAAGATCTTCTGTCTGTTTTTAGATAATGCGGATGAAATCTGGTAGTCATGCTTGGAGAAGAATCAGACCACAGCAGGGGGCCTCAGCTAACGTTTGAGGTGGGGGCCTGCCATCTGCACCGGCTTTGCACTCTGCGGGTCACTTGCATGTGGGAGAAGGAGGAGGCTTGCTTTCTATGCTGCTGCTTTTCTGGCTTGCTGGCACATCTCCTTCCAAAGGACCCTACTGGAGCCTGGCTCTCAAAGACTCCCAGAGATTTTTGTTGTAAAACCTTCTTGCCCAGTTGAAGCTTAGTCCTTATTACCCAGGACCTAGCAGTCATTTATCCCAGTTAGTTCTTGGAATTTCCTTAGGAATAAAGGGAAGATTTACTCACATCCACAGTATCAAAACAGAGACTATATGCATCAGTCCTGGCAATAACATGCATGCCTGTGAATGGCATTTTCATGCTGGAGCATGTCAGTATGGCCTGTATCTAACAATGCACAAGTGAGGAATATGATGACAGACTGTTAGACGCATTTATGAAAACGTCACAGTGCAACCGCTATTCTGCAATTGATAGGTCCAAATAGAAAATCACGGATACCTTCCTGAACACACTTTCCATCAGCTGCATCGCCGGAAAGTCTTGGCTCACTGGAAGCTACTGCCATGGTGTCTGGAAGGCTGTGCTGCTCTCGCTCATGATTCCTCAGCTGACTCTTCAAGAAAAGGCAAGAAAATATGTACATAACTTTCAGCGAGTCTATCTGCTGGAGGACTAGGAGGCTAGGAAAGAGGCTGGTTGCTTTCATGACCTTAGATGTGGAACCAATTACCAATAAAATCAAATCTACTAAAAAATCTTTTGGCACATTTGAATTTACAGAAATATACTAATCCCGGGTGCAGTGGTGTGCACCTTTAATCCCGCCCCCTGGGAAACAGAGGCAGGTGGAGCTTTGTGAGATCGAGGCCACCCTGGTTGACACTGACTTCCACGTGGGCTGTGACTAGGGAGACCCTGTCAAAAACCAATAAAAGACCAATCAAAAAAAAAAAAAGAAATATACGAGGATAATCATGATCCTCAAAACGCAGTTTTTAAGCCCAGCATGGTGGCGCACACCTTTGATCTTGCACTCTGGAGGGAGAGGCAGAAACAAATAACAACCAAAAACAAAGCAGTTTCTCTTTTCATGTTCTCTGAAAGGAAGTCTTGCTTTGTGAGGAGTTGTCGACGCACAGCACTGGCAGGCTTTCCACTCCCTGGCAGGCCAAAGACCAGAGGGTTAAGAGTAAGTAGACATCGAGTAAGTTACAAGAGTAAGTTTGCATCGAAAATAATGCAATCAGCAGCCACTGGCCTTCCTACTGACTTTTGCTTTTTGACCTCAGCTAGATGTGTCAGAGGAAAAAACTTCACCACAAGTCAGAGTACAGTGGCAGCAAAAGCAACTCCTGGAGACTTCCAGAATGTGCTCTCCTGGCCTGTTTGGATGTGTTACTTGGAATTTCATGAGGGTGATGGGGTACTAGTGAACCTTGGACAAGCTGGCCTCGATCATGGACCTGCCTGCTGAGTGCTGGAATTAAGGCAAAGGCATACACCACCGCGCCTAGCCTTTCTTTTCTCTCTTGAGACAGGGTCTCACAGGGTAACCCTGGCTGGCCTAGAACTCATTATGTAGAACAGGGCAGCCTTGAGCTCACAGAGATCCTCCCTCCTCTGCCTCCTGAGTGATGGGAATAAAGGTACGTGCTAATAATACACCTGGCAGAAGCATTTTTTGTTCTTGTTTTTTTTTTTTTTTTTTCCATCGCCAACTGGACCTCAACTGTAGGTAACCTATGAGACAAAGTCGACACCCCAGTTGGTTAATTAAGATTCATTTTCAGCACATGTTCAATCACTTGGCAGGCTGAAGGAGCTCCAAATCGATCCAAGGACAGTGAGTTTCCTTTACAAAAAGATAAATAACATTTTATACCAGCCACTGAGTCAACACATAAGATGAAAATCAGTCTGGACAAGTCATCAAAGTCCACTAAATAGCCAGGCATGATGGCACAGCCCTATAATTGCAGCAGACGAGAGGGAGTCAAGAGGTCTACATGCTCAAGGCCAGCCTGGACCACAAAGCAAGACTTTCATAAAACCAAAGACTGGGGATGTGGCTTAGAGGTAGAGCACTCGCCTAGCATGTGTAAGGTCCTAGGGTTGATTCCCAGCAAAATTCCTTAAACTGTCCACTAACGGCATATGTGGCTTTATTTCTACTGTGCTACCTCCCAAGAAGTCACAGAGCCCACTTCCTCTCTGCAACGGCACTTAGCCTCTTTACATCGGCACCTGCCCTGACTGTAGAAATACTCATTTTTGTGTTGCTATAGTTACTGTGCATGTCAGTCTACTCTTCCTTTCTAAGTGAACATCAACACTTTAAAAACATACACACATGAAAACAGGAAAGCTGTAGATACTGAGGCTACAGGAGGGAGGCAGCAGACAGGGGACTTGAGCCGCAATTCTGAAGGCTCAGTGCTATCTTTGATAAGAGTCTTCTGGGCTCCCTTGGGCAAATTACCAAATTTTCCTGATCTATAAAACGAGGTGGCTGGACTACATCCATAATGCTCCCTTCTCACTGCAAAGCTCTCAAGTCCTCAACAATCTTTGCACACCACCGCTTACCTTGTAATGGAAAGACTCTTCGCACTGCTTACACTGGTAGATCCTGGTTTTACAGTGGTTGATCATGTGGCTCTCCAAGTCTTTGCTGTTGTCCGCTATGTGCTCACAGATGGGACACTGGTAAGGCTGCCTCTGCCTATGGACTCGCAGGTGCTGTTTGATGTAGCCCTTGTTCCCACTTGTGTAGTGGCACAGGCGGCATCGGTAGGGCCGCTCGGTGTCCGGGATGTACTCCACCACATTGGTTCCCAACAAACTTGCGTCACTACCGGGCTGGCACTGGGCGTTGTCCTGTAGCTCTTTCAAAATGTCATCATCTGAGGCATTTTGGTCTGTCCTTTCTCTCAGTTTTTCTATTACGGTGAGCAGGGACATGCTGATGCCTGTCTTAACATGCCCCTCTGACAATTCCTGCCTGCCCTCTGGTAGTGCCACCAAGGCGGAGCTGCTTTGGTTAAAACTCGCCAACGCATCCGAAGAGTTTTTAAGTGGTGACATGATTTTTTTTGAATATGCTGCCAACGGGCCACTTACCTGCCTTTGTCCAGTGTCTGGATCTAAAAGGTTTATGTCCCCATAGTGGCCAAGGCTGGCTCTTGTTAGTTCAGCAGCTCTTATAGGCATGGTGACAAGGGCTTCTGCGGCTAAGGAGTGCAACCTGAGAGACTCGGAATCAGTCCTTCTCCGTCCTGGAGGGGCGTTCTCATCAGTAGCCAGGCCTTTACCTAGGTCACCATCTGCCTTCTCTGCACTGCTCCAGCCTATGATCAACCCCCCGATATCAACAGTACATTTATCAGCACGATAGATGTCACCAGCTCCCCCACACCCAGTCGGAGCTGTGGCTGGGTTCAGGCTCTTCCCCTCTTCAACTTCGGCGTTCATGAGGAAATGTTTTGGTGAAAGAGCTTCTTCAGCACTCGGCAAACGTTCCACTATGACATTAACGTGACCTTTTTTATTTGGGCTGCTGCTAATGATTTTCTGTGCTGATGAGAGCAGGCTATCAGCAAACAGATTCTCCTCAGAATCGGACATCACCTCCAGCATTTCTTCCTCCTTAGGGTCAAGGGTAACTGACTGGCTTAGGTGCACTCCCTCCTCCGTGCTCTGTTCTAAAGGAGATGAGGAGAGAGGCTCCGAGCTGCAGATCTGAACTTGCACCGATGGCCCATTGTGGATGCTCAGTTCACTGTCTCCAATAGCAATGACTACAGCATCGACCCCGCCAGGTGCAGCAGACACAGGAGAGTCCAGCAAGCCCAGGGGCTCGTTTTCATTTTCAAAGATTGGATAGGAGCAATTGACCTCCCCTGCATGTTTCCAGGCATGTGTTTTCAACATTCTCTGTTGACCACAAGTATAACTACAGAACAAGCACCGATACATGCCATACTGTTCATACGCATACCACTTCCTCCTGCCCACCTCTGCCACAGACGCACTCTGGATGGAAAGAGTCTGTGGACTGCCCACGCTTCCTGCGATGTCCGCCGTGGCTTCACTCTTTCCTTCTGTGGCCCTCTGACCCGAGGAGCCCGGCAGGCTGCTGCCCTGCTGGGACTGAGCGTGGCCGCTGGCACTGTTCTCATGTTCACTTACCACATGAGCTTCAAGCTCCTCCTGGCTTCTGGAGGTAATGTGGCACTCAGAGCACATTAGTATCACCTCGTTCTGCTGACCATGCTGTTTGATATGGTCTCTCAACACTGAAAACGACGACGACAGAAACTTACACAGGCTACACTGGTAGGACATAGTTTTCCCATCATTCGTGACAAGAGAGCCAGGAGAACTTGTGAATGACATCTCAGCCTTCCTAATCTCAGCAGCAGGGGACTGGGCCACTTTAGCTGGAACCTCGCCAAGTTCAGGCGTTTCAACAGAGTGAGGTGTCACACTGGGACGCGAGCGCTTTTTCCCGATCAGAAGACATTTCTGTGACTTGTCATGCTCCACTATCTTGCTTAACTTCTGAATAACGTGGATCAATGGGTCTGCTTTGGCTTTTCTTTGCTCATCAATTTCTAATGAAGGACTGATGACTCCTTCGGCAGCTAACACAGCTTCCTGTTCCCCAATATCCGGCACCAACATGGGAACACTGTTGCTTTCTTCCATATCTAGAAAGGATAGTGCACAACAGAGAGGAACAACGGGTTACGGCATGACCTCAGGCACGCGGTCAGAAAATGAAGGCCATCTTTAGTGCCTCATTTAAAGATTCCTAAATTGGGAGCTCTGAGGCAACACACCACATTATCCCCATGACAGACTGAACCAGCTCAGAGCTCCACTCTGGCACGCATTATTCATTAAGGCTGAGGTGGGGACCTCCATGCTGTCTATTCATTTCCTCAGGAATGATTTTAATAACCTGTATTCTCATCCCCACTGTCTTTGCCCCTAACATCTTGGGGGGCCCAATCAGTACACATCTTCTGCAATGCCAGAACCAGCAGAGGCCCCAATTCATTGTTTAAAGTGGCAGCCATCTGCAGGTTTGGGGGACGACTTCAAGTCACTGTGAAGCAGCTCTCTCTAGCGCCAACACCATCTGATACAACGCTTGAGAAACTATTTCTCACACCAAATTTTAACTGCAGATTATTAAAACCACACTTCTCAAAACTCTGAATTCATGACAATATAATCACGTACTCTAAAGAATACAGAATTTTGAGGAGTACTATGCAAATGAAACAAACAGAAGCAAGGATCTGCTTCCTTCTTTTACTTCCTTTGATTTGTCCACACGATAAACCACAAAGCATGCTGCGGTTTACTCCTGGAGGCTGTATTAGTGGTTACAGCCACATATGACTTCTTCTTGAGAAGGAGTGAACACTAACACTCCTTTGTGCTTCAGGTCCACAAGTGAACAGAGGCCTCGAAGGGGTCACCTGTGGGCTATGGGAGTGCACCAGGGCTGGGTGTCCGGGTATGGATCAGCCTCCCGTAGGCCTCTGACTCTTTACATTCCTGCCAACACTTGCACTTCAAACATGTTCTTTGGCTTAAAGTGAGATTATTTTGTTGATTTGGATCAAATCTTTAAGTTTAGGCTTTTTTCCAGCAACAAGTTTTGTTTTTCCACATTTTAGGTGCATTCTGGAACCTTACAACATTCAATAAATGCCAGCAAAATTGTCAGCAGCACGAGCTACAGACCAAGGAACGTGTATTTTTCTTAAACTCTGGTCTGGGCTTTGTGCTCTTCCCATACCAGGGAGAAGGGCATTCAGCCCCCAGCCAGGATTGCACCCAGCTCACCTAGCAGTGTCTACTTGGCTGCCCTGGGACAATGTGGCTTTTCTTTTCTACCCTACTCCTTCCTCCACATGAGTTTTCTCTATCTGTATCAGGCAAAACCACAAACCCTAGTCTTCTGTCTCAGATCAGCTTGTTTTCCTTGCAGAGACAGCCTGTAATTGCCTGCCTCAAGGCAGGGCGCACACTCCCCAGCCACATCAGTGCAGGCACTCTTGTTTCTCATGACCTCTCAGAAGAGCTCTTTTTGTCTTTCTTGGAACAGGTTTACACTAACCCTGAAGTGGCTATCTACCTTTTCACTAGCTTAATATTCTACAGATTTCTGCCTCTCAGGAGGCTAGCCTGGTCTACATAGTGGGTTCCAGGCCAGCTGGGGTTACACAGAGACCTTGCCTCAAAAGACAAAGAAATAAACATAAAAAGACTTTACAGTTTTGTGACTAGTGAGATGGCTCAGCAGTTAAGATGGATTTTAGCTTGCAGAGGACCAAGTTTGGATCTTAGCTCCCAGCTAACGACTGCCTTATGTAACTCTAGCTCAAGGGGATCCAAAACTCTCTTCTAGTCTCTAGGCACCCATACACATGGCAGACACTCACATAAACACATAAGATGGCTCAGAGGGTGGTTGCTGCATGCATGAGGGTCTGGGTTTGGGTCACTAGCATCCACGTAAAAGCCAGGAACCGGATACAGAGGTACATATCTGTAACCCTGGTGCTAGGGGTGGTGGTGGTGGTGAGACAGGTGAATCTTAGAGGCTGTTTGGCTAGCAGAAATGATGAGTTAGAGGCTCACTGACAACCCATTTCAAAAAATGAGACGGGGGCTAACAGATGGCTCAGCGGTTAAGAACATTGGCTGTTCTTGCAGAAGACTCGGGTTGAATCCCAGCACCCACATGGTAGCTAACAACTGTATGTAACTCCAGTCCCAGGGGATCTGACAACCTCTTCTGACCTCCACAGACATTGCACGACATGGGTGCACTTACATACATGCAGGCAATACACGCATATACATAAAATAAAAATAATAAAATAAAA